GTGCAGGTTGAGTTCAAATTTAGAGGCCAGTGTGTCAGCTTCATTTCACCCATGATGAGTGCTTGTAGTATCATGATCTCTTTCTTTCGTTAATATGCCTGAACTTCATCTTCTTCCTCTGAAATGTCTGTGTATCATCCTATAAAATCTAATGGCTTTCACAATAGCTATTGTTCAACTTTTCAGGAAACTTCAATAAAGCAGCAGTTCCAAAATAATTTAAAAATACACAAAACTTTATAGGAATTTGAACTTAACAGTTGCTTCTAAGGAAAAAAAATAGATGCTAGTGAAGAATGAAGTATGTTGCCACTAGCTATAAATTCTGATAGTTCAAATACTTGGGAGAAAAAGAGAAGTCAAGCCTGGTTTGCCATATTAGGATGCTTCTCCATGTCAGGGCAATTGGTGAGGGATGTGACTGAAGGCTGGTGATTAGAAGAATAGCAGGCACATTCCTTCTCATTAGAAGGTCTTTAAAAGCAGCTGCAAAAGCTCAGCCATCAGCAGGCCATGTGGCTTGTCAGAGACACCAGGCTCCAATCTTTTGAATGTGACCAGGAGATTAAGCAGGACTTTGAAGATACTCAGACAAATACAATGATCTGCTAACACATTTTCTGTGGCAGCAATCTGACACTGCTGATACATGAGGCCCTGATAAATATATGTGAAAGGAGAAGGGGCACCCAGCAAATGTTAGAAGATGCACACAAGAGAAAGGAGTATCTGAGATTGTTTGCCTCCATGCCTATGACTTAACATCGTAACAGTAACAAACATTTTTAAGATAAGGTCTCATTGTGTAGCTCTAGCTGGTCTGAAACTTGTTATGCAGACAAGGCTGGCTTTGAACTCACAGAGCTGTGCCTCTTCCTCCTGAGTTCTCTGATTAACGTGTGTGCCATCATGCCCAGCAACAAAAATATTTTAAAACAACATTAAAGAAATTTTTGTATATATTGGGATAGAGAGACGGCTCCGTAGATAAGAGCACTTGTTGCTCTTGCAGAGGATCCAAGGTGACTTACAAAAATCAGTAACATCAGGTCCAGGAACTCTGAAAGCCTCTCTGATCTAGCTGGGCACAAGGAACACATGTGCGCAGACAAAACATTTGTCCATATAAATTAAATAGATCTTTAAAATGTTATGTACATATTTATAATTTTTACAAACTATAAAATATATTAAAAATTTGAGACAAATCATAAACTGCCACCAGAAAGTTGTTTGTTACTGGTACTAGGTATAAGCCCCATTAATTGCTGCCACACAGGTGCTTCTCCAAGTACACATCCGTGCAGAGAAGGGCAGGCTCCTAAGGTATGGAGATAGATATCCTTGCTAAATAAAACTCCACAACACACACCTCAAGTGGAAAAAGCTTTTTAGTTAGAGTATCTAGTTTATTCTTCTATTGAATTTAAACATGTTGAACAGGCAACTGCTTAACTTTCTCACTTTGAACACCAGAGAAAACTCATTTGTTTGCCAGGAGCAAGTGAAAAGAGGGCCAGTGTCTGCAAAGCTACAGTTAAGTGATGAATCATGTTGTAGCACAGAGAGAATCTCAGTGGTTCAAGTTCTGAATGAAAAAGCAGAAACACTTTCTAAGGAATACTGCACACAGGCAAGCTGTTTAACAATGAACCCTCAATGCCTGGGGCCCCATAATGCACAGCACCTCTTGGCTGCTAGCTGTTAACTCATTTCCTCTTCTTTAGTTGTACCCTGAATAATTTAATATGGCACGTGACTATTGGGATCTAAAATCCTAGCTACTAGAAGCTAGAATTTCTTTAGAGGATGAAAATCTTGTGGCTTTTAGGCAGCTGGCAGGTTATCAGACATATTTTAGAATTTGACTCATTTTTCTAAACTTGAGAGTGGTTGTGGTGGCTTTCTGGGAAGATTAAACTTCCTTCGGTTAGAGTATAGGACACGGAAAGAGCTCTACCTAAAGCAAAGGTTGAGACACAGTGGAGTTCTGCTAAAATCACTCCCTTCTATTTTTACTAGGGCAACTGTCTTCAGTGTGTTAGGATCAGAAATGTTTTACATGTTCAACTATGAATATTAGCATATTTCCATTCTGTTCATGAGAATAAAACAGTATCAGCTAAAAGCATGTCAGTAAAGTGACATCCTTTTAACTGTTGGTCCCAGTGAACAGTTAAAATAATTTTATTAAAGTTGCTTAAACAAGACAGTGTGTGTGTGTGTGTGTGTGTGTAGTCATTAATATGCATATGCCACATGCATATGGAGGTTCAAGACTGACATTTAGTGTGTTCCTTGATTGCTTGCCACCTACCTTTCATTTTCTCTCACTGATCCTGAAGCTCATCCATTAAGCAAGGCTGGCCAGCCAATACTTTCAGAGATCTTCCTGTGTCTGATCCCCTATTGCTTGGGTTTACAGAAACACTCCAGCCCTCTTAGTTCCCATTAGTTTCTCACATGTGTCTGAGGAACTGTACTCAGGTTATTACAATTGCAGGGCAGGCACTTTACCCACTGAGAAATCTCCCCAGGCTGACTGTACTTACTTATAGGTGGGACACAGAGAGCACTGGCATTAGAAGAGCATTTTAAGCTCAGCACTGCTGATATGGTAGGTTGGTTAGTTAATTGTGAGGAGCTTTCCTCTGTACTACAAAATATTCAGCAGCAGTGTCAGCTTCTACCCTTCAGGTACCAGTAGCACTGGATTACCTCAGCTAAGACAAATGTGTCCAAGCAGAATTTGGAAGGCTGAGGCAGGATGACCATAAGTTTATAGCCAGCCTGAGCTACATAACTAGATACATAAGAACAATCTGTCTTAAGACAACAAATTCTCTAGAAGTAGACACAGATCTCTTGGTTTTGGATTGGGGGTGGGGTAAAGGAACAGGGGGTACAACACAGAATCATTCCTAGTTGAAAACTATTAGCTTAGGATGTAAATAAGCCAAATAGTGAAGCGACATTGAAGCTTAACCATCCTTAGTCTTTGCAATGAGATTATAAAGAGCTGTAAATCTCAAATCTTCAGGAAATAACTATGCAGAATTTGATGTCTATGAAAAGAAAAAACCTCCGATGTATAGCTTGGAATGCTGTGAGGTTTCAAGCTTGACTTCAGCAGTCTATCAAGTGTTCAGCTTAACTTTTGAGACATTTAAGATTTTTAAAACTTTTATAACTAGTTAACAGAAATGAGTCTCTCTGATAATCAGTATTGAATTTTAATGAGAAAGCCTGGTTTAACTTATTCTAAAAGACCCGTTTACTTCAAATCAAAGGTATATTCTAAGGAAGAAAGAAGCTGCTGAAGCAGGCATCTGCGACAGTGCCCAGGCTTCTGGCCATCCCCATGCTTCCTGCCTGTGACTCTGGCACAGTGTCAAAGGTCTGATACTGAGTCACTACTGAACAGGTTTTATAGAGTGTGTAATTTTTGTCTGTACTAAGTAGATTACCTTTTCTAAAAATCCACTACCAGCAGTTTGAAAAAGAAGTGCTTTTGGATATTAACTGTTGGCTTTGTCTTGTGAGATTTCTGTTATTATTTAAAACAATGCCCTGAAACAGAAATACACCTACTAATTCAGCTGGTCATATTCCCCACTGATGAGCACTTGCCTAACACATTCTAGGCTCTAGGTTCAAGATTTGACACCAGGAATAAAAAGAAGAGAGAAAAAATTTTTCTTAAGGAGATGTGGGCCTGTTGGGGGCACAAAGCCTACAGATAGCACGAGACAACACTCAGGGGTGTCTCTTCAGAGGAAGAGGTGGAGAATTTGTTTTCTGCCCAGAAGGGTGGGAGTGAAGGTTAATGGTCTAGATGACCTCTGTACTATCTGTATGACCGAGACCACATCAGAGCCTTCCCTAGGCCCTTTTAAGGTAACACTTGTAGCCCATCTATAGAACTTATCTTCACAGAAGAAGTGACAGCACTTTGAAAGGTGCTTCAATGTTATCATCCATTATTGTGCACTTGGGATTGTGTTACACCAGGAAATGTTTTTCCAAACTGTACTGTCCTTAAGCATGCCTGAAATAAACTACTCGGCATCAGACTTTACAAGTTTGGACCAACACTGGCTACTCAGTCCTGTTGAGCCATATTTCATTCTTGCCTCACTCAGACTATATTGCATGCCCTAGGGTTTGCAGAGACCCACATGAGCCTATGCTATCTCCAGCTATAGACATACTCATATGTATAAACAAACACTCCCAACTTAGTCAGTGCTCCACTTGTCAGGTGTGAACATACCATTTTACTTAACACACAGCTTTATAGGAAATGAGACTTTGAAGCAGAGTTTGTTCACATAAACTTTGTTTTAAACAACTTATGAAAGAATGATAAATTATCAGGCTGTTTTCTTAAGTTCCCATTCACAAAACACAGGATCCTTGTTAGCAATGGGTACCAAACACTTTCGAGGCTTACTCGGGTTTAAAAACAGAAGTTATGTTTAATTCAGTGCTAGGGATTGAATCCAGGGTATCACATATTCAAAACAAGCAAGCGACCACTATGCTTGAACTTAGTCCGAAGTCAAAAGTATGTAACTCTTTGTCTTTTCTCAGTTTTTAAAAACTGACTCTAATTTATATACGTGAAAGTCACTTAAGCATCTGCCTGGATCTGGAGAATCTAGCATGACTGAAGCTTGCTTTGATCCCACCAGTAAACTATAAACCGAGTTGTGATGAATACCATGTGGGGAGGTAGAGTCAGGGGATCAAAAACTCAAGGATGTCCTTAGCTACACAGTGAGTTTGAGGCCAACCTGGACAATGTGAGACCCTGTCATAAACACACACACACACACACACACACACACACACACACACACACAAATGTGTCTATCTTAGTTTAGGTTACTCTGATGCATCCATGGATGCGTGCGTGCGTGCGTATGACAGAGAAAGAGAGCGAAATATATAGAGAGACTTATTAGTAGCTTATCAAATGCATGATAGCAGGTACATACCATCAAAACTACCTTGCTCAGAAGCAAGATGTAACAGCTGGTTATATGTTTCAATTGAGGGTTGATAGACAAAGACTCCAGAATTGAAACAGTCAGGCCACCCTGGGTCTGGTGCTGCGGACAATTCTTCTCTTTCAAACAGTTCATCAATATTGGAGAGGACCTTATTCAAGGAGGAAGACAAAGAAAGGCATTACAAGAATGCTTTTGTTGTGGCACATCCTCCCTAGGTTCTCCATTACCCAAAACAAAGATGGGACAACTGTATAGCAGCCTAGGATTACTCTCCTTCATCACTTGACACTTCTTATGATAGTGGCTTTACCTGCCATGTCTTGACAGCATTTCTGAAATGAGTAACAGGTCTCCATTACTATGCACATCTTTTTAGCCCTTAAAGTCACACTCACCAGAGTATCTGCATCCATGAACACACATTTGGAATACTGAGTAAGTGACCAGCAGTGGAGTTTAGTCAATGTGATACCCAACTCTGGCCTCTTCATTAAGGTTAGATGAGCAGAATCACCACTGTCCAAGACATCTACCATGATGACTTCATCAAAGACAGTCTCTAAAACTTTTCTGTAAAAATAAGTTCCAGAAAGCATCACATACACTCTTTTCATAGCACATGATCCACTTACTCTAAGACTTTCCCTTACTTCACAACCTACCAATCACAAGACAATTGGCGCTTTGGCATAGTATACCCTCTTAAATCTATCTTCATGCACTTCAGAACAAACTGTGTTCATGCATACATGTAGTTAATTCCATAAGTAGTGATAACTGTTTATGGTGCCACCTAACTTAAGACATTATCATAGAAGAACTTTTCTCTCTTCTGAGAGTATACCCGGTAAGCTCAACATGACATATAAGAGTTTTCAATGTTCAAAATTACCTAAGTGTGTGTGTGTGTGTGTGTGTGTGTGTGTGTGTGTGTACATGTGTATACTCTCATTCACTGAGTGCATTCACTCAGGACAGCATGTGTATGCAGAACTCATTAGTCACTCTCAAGAACTATCTGCCTTGGTGGGTTTTTGTTGTTGTTGTTTTGAAATGTGAAAATAACTGTGAAACATTTTAGTAACATGTGTTAAGAATGTATCTCTGTACCAGCCAATGTGTTTGACAATGACAATTTATTGGAATTGGCTTGACTGACCTTTGCATGTTTTAAATAAATGATGCTGGATAATAGCCATATAATATACGAGATGAAGCCTATAACTAACTGCTTCTGCTAGAGCAATAAATCAAGAATTTCTTGAAGTTATTTATCTCTACTGGTTAGGATTTTGTCAATTTGACACATGCTAGAGCCATCTGGGAAGAGGGAACTTCATTTGAGAAAATGTCTCCATCAGATTGGCCTATAAGCAAGTCTGAGGGGGCATTTTCTTGATTGATGATTGATATAAGAGGGCCTAGACCTATGTAGGTGGTGCCATTCCTGGGCACTTATTCAGGGTGGTCCTGAGTAAGCAAGCCATGGAAATCAACACAGTAAGCAGTGTTCCTCTGTGGCCTCTGTTTCAGTTCCTGCCTCCCGGTTCCTGCCTTGACCTTCATCCCCAACTTGCCTCAATGATGATTGTCAGTTGCAAGCCAAAAATAAACCCTTTCTTCCCAAAGTTGTTTTTTGGTCATGGTGCTTATCAAAGAAAAAAAAAAAAAGCAGAAAACTAGAAGACTGCCCCAAAAGAAATTAAAAGAATTATGAAATCATCATTGTTTTGGAACTCAGTGTAACTACTTTTATTAAGTGTTTAACACTTGCCATAATGAGAAGCTCATTTTGGTTTGGGAGAAATTATCTAAATGATTCTCTCTGTGTGTTTGTGTGTGTTTATGTGTGTGTATGTGTGTCTAATGAATGAGTGCACACACGAGAGCATGTGCATGCAGAAGTCACTGGTCATTCTCAGGAACTATCTGCCTTGGTGGGTTTGTTGTTGTTGTTGTTTGAGAAATCTTTTCTTGACCTGGAACTTACTGACTAGGTTAGGATGGCTGGCTAGTGAACTCCAGGGATCCACCTTTGTCTGCCTCCCAGGTGATGAGATTACAGACATGCATATAAAAGTATGGTGCCCATATTTTTATATAGGTACTAAATTCAGGTTTCCATGGCTTTAGTGGTATGTTAATGAAACAGACACTATACCTAGCTAGAGGAAAATTGAATGATACAAACATTTAAGTACTGAGAAGCATATAACAGAAGAAAAACTGGTGTTGTATTTTATCTCTCAAATTAGATAAAAAGTACATTTTAGTTCACAGAATAACCTTGGCCTTTTTTAAAATAAGAAATGGTGAATGGCACCCATGACTGTAGTGAGTTACGGTAGTAGGATCTGAGACAAAATCTGGGTGGTACACATTCCTCACTAAGGGATATATCAGGAGAAAGGGTTTGGGGCACCTTTCTCAAGAACCATGTAGGATCAATGTAATTAATGTGGAAGATATGTATGTATATGCATATATGTATAATGTCTTATTTTTAAAGGCCACTGGCCTATGTTTACATTTAAAAAAATATAAGGTATTCTCAATTTCCAAGAAGGCTAGGAGATTATAAAAATAAGACAACACAAAGCTGTTGGAGCACCAAAATATTCTTAAGTTTAGTACCCAGATATAGCAAAATTGAATTCCAAAACTCAAAACGAACTAATCCAATCAATCAGCAGCTTGTACTTCTCAGCATGTGTCTCCTAATGAATTCTGTAATAGTTTAATAAAGTCTAATAATGAAGACTTTATTATTTTATACATAAAGATCACTAGGTGACAAATGTCAGCTAGAAATGAAAAATGTTTAATAGCATCTGAAGGTTTCCTTGTTTTCAGGAAACAAAACAATCCCAGCTTCATTTGGGGAAAGAAATACAGATGAGTAAGGACAGACAGAACTTGGCAGGATGCCCCTTAGAAGATTCAGTGAGGGGGCAGTTCTCTCTCCTGAGATGGAATCAGGAAGATGGAGCACAGATGGAACTTCCCTGAAGGAATACTGGAACCATCTCCCCAAAGTTAGGAAGAAATATCAAATTCCGAAATCTTTATCTTAGCATGGATTATCTGTCTTTACTTAGTGCTCAGCTCCCTAGGAAGGTACAAGGGAGAATAATGTTAGTGCCCCAAGGACAAGGAGACAGACAGGCAGGTAATCTTTACCTCATGGAGTCTGAAACCTGTGGGCTGGTGAGTACAACCATCCTCCTAGTAGTCCTGTGCTGTTTCAAAGATGAGCCCAGGACCAGTGCACCCTTGGCATAGGCATCGTTTGTGGTCAGCGTCACAAAAGCCTGATCTTAAGACAAAGAAAAAGAAGCATATCTCAGCTGGAGAAGTTCTTTCCCCACGTGTTCTCTCAAACCACAGTTCAGCAAAATCATCTCCTCGGAGATTGATTTTCTGTTAATGAGGCAGCAGCCCCTTTTGTGGGAGAACTCCAGCCATCTATCTAGGTATAGCTAAAACTGAAGTTTAGCAGAAATGCCAGACAGACAACCTTCAAGATGAGCATGACAACCACAAAAGTCAAATCCTAGTTAGAGCCTATACAAATCCTTAGAGCAAACTGTAGCACAGAAGCGAAGCTTAGGAAACTGGTGGTAAGGAGAACGTCACACTTCCTTTCTCTTACAAGGCCCAGTGAGTGGTATTTTCATCCAGGCAAGATATCCCTTACCCACCACCCCAGAAAGTAACCGAGCTTCTACCAAGACTGATCTTTCCACAGTGACCTTACTCTTTGTGACCAACCACTGTTGGTGAGCTTAGAAGCCAACTCTAACCAACCTCTCTTGTCCCCTTTCTCTGTCTTTTCTTTATCCTCCCCCACATTCTTCCCTGGGATTCCAATCCACATTCTTCTGAACTCTTCCACATGTTAGGCATGTGTTCTACCAATAAACTACATCCCCGGCTTTTTATTGTTTTGAGCTACGGCTTGGCTGCATGGACCAAGCTGACTAGCCAACAACCCTGTATCCAATTCCCAAGTACTACAGTTAAAGGTGCAAACCATGGCCAGGTGCCTTCACTTCTCTGGGAAAACGAGCCACATATCACTTTCCCCATCCTCCCCTTCTACCCTAACAAGAGACACGGACATACATGGCAATTTTCCCAAAGGCCCAGCCAGAATAGAAGTCAAACACATATTCTTTCTCCCACTGGAGTCTTCATTGTATCAGCCTTTAAGATTTTTTTCAGGCTTTTTTACTCTGGAGACTGTAACATTAACAGTTGGTAGGTATCTGAAGTACATAGGGATACTAAGGTTCAAGCTCCACAGCAGTCATTTGGGGGGACTGCTGCCCAAGAAGAGAGTTAGGAGACTTTGTCACTGTCACTCTTGGGTTTCCTCTTTTTCCCTTGCCCATTTTGCAGTGTGGATGCTAGAAGCAGTGGGAATTCCTCTGAGAATGGAGAGTGTAGTCGGTTGTCTGGTTATCCAGTGTATTCCCCAGAAGCCAACTTGAAAGCCGTTTCACTCATACTACAGAGCCATCTTTCAGAACAACCCATTACACTACCAAGATGAAGAAAGTTGCGAATTCCCTACCTCTAGTCAATTATACTCTGTAATGACACTTGCCACATCCATCAACCTCAGCTGGTACTTGTCTGTTATTCTTAGAACATTCTGAGACAGTAACATTTCAAAACCATTTTGCCCCAAAAGTACTTAAAATGAGCACAATGAATTATGTGCTAACCCCAAAAGGACTTCAGGAGGTGGTGGAGAAACATGTAATATGAACGGGATTAAAAGAACTACAGGAAGCAACACTATCCTTCCCCAGGTTAAATTAACAAAAGGATTGCCCAGATGTTATAAACACGGGCTAAAACACTAGACTTAGCCTACAAATGGACGCTAAGACCAATTGATAGCTGGGTGCTTTAACCTTCAGATGGCCGGTCAGTTGCTGTTACAACCCAGGCTACAGCTTCAAGCTTTCAGAAGGGCCAGTTACCCCTAGTGCCCAGTCCTGGGGTTCTTTCGCCTAGGGCCTGACACTTTGCAACAAGTGGCACCAAGGCCTGCCCGGGGCGCTAGCCGGCTCCCACATAGCAGCACCCGGCTGCTGAGGCCTAAAAATAGGCTCAGTGCAGAGGCCAAAGCAGGGCCGCAACCCAGTGTTTCCGCAGGGCGCTCGCTGTTCCCCGTGGCAGGAGACCCTCAGGGCTCCGTGCGATCCCGGTGCGCCCCGCGCCCGCCCCACCCCGCCTGCCCTTCCCCGGATGCCGGAGACGGAAGCCGCCGCTCTGCAGCCGGGCTCGGTCAGCAGCCGGAGACCACGGCAGTTCGCGAGCTTCCTGGAGCTTCCCAGGTGTAGGGGCAGCCGCGCCCCGGGGCCGGGTTACGTGGGCGTACCTGTCATGGTGTGGCTGGGTGGGGTGGGTCGGCGGAGCCGGGCGCCGTAGGTGACTGCGGCCAGCAGGGAGGGCGGGAGTCCGCAGACCGCCGCTCTTATAGCGGCCGTCACGTGGCCGCGCAGGCTCCAGCCCAGGCCGCATCCTCCCCGGTGCGCACTGCGGGCGGGCGGGGCGGCCCTGGGGACCCATAGGCTGCTGTGCCCAGGGGACACCTGTTGGGGACTGCACCGGTGGGTGGCGTTCGTTCCAGGGCCTGGGAAAGAAAGGGGACAGAGCTGTGTGGTCTGCGGCAGGAAAACCAAGGGTAATGAACTTTCAACTAACAGAGACCCCTCAAAAGTCACACTGGTTACAGTACTCATCTAAACGGTTTAAATAGAAGAGGACATTTACTGAAAACTTTCCACACTGTCACAATGGTGGTGTAGCACTAACCTAAAAATAAAATAGGTATTTGCCAAATATTTCGAATCTTACCACTGGTTTTATCAGGTAGCTAAGATCATTTTACCAAGCAAATGGTTTACATACTGCCATAAACCTGTAGGTAGGAGAACACAGGCTCAGAAAAGTGAAGTTACTTTTCTATGATAATAAACCGTAGGAGGGGAGGTAGCATTTGTACCCTAGCAGTTTCAGATCAACACACTCCCATAGAAAACCCCAGTGCCTTTGGCATATTGGTTCTGGATAAAGGGTAGTAAGTTCCGGTAATTCTTCTTAGGTAATTCAGTTGTTTCGGTTCATCTATTTCACAAATCTTGAAGGTCAATTTGTCGTTTCAGGGGGGAAGTTGAGAAATAGTTTTCTATTGTAGCCACACTTCGAACACACAATTCTCTATTCCAGCCAATCAGCCCAAGCACAGTAGTGGTTCTGCAAAGGTGGGTCAGCGCTCTGCAAATCTTTTCTCAATAATGAACGGTGACAATATCAATTCAAAGCAGGAAACAGATACTGAAAAATAGGGAAAGGTAGTGCTGCAGTCCTCAAAATAGTCCTCAATTTATTGTCGTTGATGAACTTCCAATTTCCAACTTTATAATAGTTCAAAAGCATTATACATCATCAGAAACTACTTTTGATATTTCATTGGCTAATGATATTCAATACATTATTCTTCCATGGTGCCAAACACTTGCCCCAATCCCCAGGCAGCAGTGAGATCATTAAGGTAAACATAAATGCTACTCTTTTGCTAGCCTATGGCATTGGGTACTAGATGTAACAGAAGATTCTATATACTCATAAAGGGTCTATAAAGAAACAGCCCCACACTCATCATCCTAGGACCATAGCTACCTCACCTGCTTCTTGGCTTGTGGGCCTAGTCCTCCTCCACCAGACTCAACCAGTTTGAGTTAAAAAAGTAAATTTTTGATGTTAAGTTCAGATCTCCTAGAGTGGAATCATTTGAAAACTACACTCTTTTTAAAATTGATATATATTAACTTTCTACATTTTTGTGGTACTGTAAGTTTGGCTTACAATGTGTAATGATCAGGTCAGAGTAACCAGCAGGACCTGAAGGATTATCTATTATCAGAATAAGTTGGTTTTCTTTTCTTTTTTATTGGCAATGTTAGAACTCAAACGCAGGGTCTTATACATGTCAGGCTTGTGCTGCAAATTGTGCTGTACTCCTACCCCCAAACTAAGGTGATTATTTTCATTGTTGTTTGGTACAAGGTCTAGTTATGGAGGCAAAGCTGGTCTCATATTGCTGGCCTAAAGTGGGTCTCCTCCTTGAGTTTTCTGAGTGGGAATACAGGGACACACATACAATTAGAAACTTAAGGTCAGAGCTTTTGAAGTGTTATCCTTCAAAAACTTCTTTTGAGTCCTTCCTAATCTTTCCATGCCAACTTACTCTGGCTTGAAGGCCAACGGATCATGTAAGGAAGACCTTCCAGTACTTGGAATATACTTCATTTTCAAGAAACAGAAATGCAGGGTAAAGGGAAAACACAAATTTCCACTTACTCAAACCTTGTGTGCTTACAAGAATGGCTCTCTTTAGGGAGTGTAAAGGCTATACTTGAGCTGTACTTAAATTGAGGAAGGGAGACAGAGTAGGTGCTTCACAGTCTGAGTTGCTCTTTTTCCAGGATAACAGATGAGTCACTTAAACAAACAAACAAACAAACAAACAAATGACAAAACAAAAACAGCAAACAGAAAAACCCACGAGGACACCTCTGCCATCAGTGCAGCTCTTAGCCGACTTCTGCTCCCGTGTGACATCAGGGTGGGCTTTCCTATGATGCAGTGCTGGAGTTCAGAAGGCAAAGTCAGGAGGAAGAGGCAGAGAAAGCTGGAAAGTGGAGAAGTTTCACTTAGGAACAGTTTCTCTACTTTTCATGTTATTTAATGAGTTCCATAAAGTTTACAGCCTTTACTGAGGCAGATTAGAAAGAGAAAATGCTGGAAAGGCTCTTCACTCTGAAATCTTGTTTGTAGAAACGTCAATACAGCTGATAAAACCAAATTACTTACTAGCTAATACATTAAGTTTCAGGACATCCCAAACAAAGATGTGAAAGGCAACAATGTATTTTCTTGGGGCAGAAGTATTTGCAACTTTGTATTTTACTTATATTAGCACTCCAGTCTCCTCTCTAAATCTAAATAACTTCCTCCCCTTGCATAAAACTACTTTATGGGCTAGTGAGATGGTCCAGTGGGTAAAGGCACTTACTGCCAAGGTAACAACCTGAGTTCAGTGCCCAGGAATCGCAAAGCAGGAGAGGACTGCTCCTGCAAGTTGTCCTCTCTTCTCCATAATCATACGTAACAGCAAGTTTCCACCCTCTACCCTTCCACAATACATTAAATAAAGGAATGTAACTTAAATATTAAAACTTAGAAAAAGAAAGTTATATTTACAAAAGAAAATTCTTTTACATAAATAAACTTGCATGTTTTCAGCTAATTTCTAAAATTAACTTAAATTTTGTTTAATCTTCAAGTCTTGTAAATTATGTTCAAAAAGTTTCAGGATCATGGATACAGTCATTGTAAAAACAATAATATGCAAGTCTCACTTAAGAAGTATAGAGGAATTTTAATGGAGCAACATGGCTGCTCTAGCAAGGGATTACATCCAAAGATATGATACGGCCGGACTGCAGAGATGCCATCCACTTTTAATCCCTCTGGCTGGAATATACACCATTGACTCCTCTGGCTGGGATACACACACACATTTAGTACACACCTTTAATCCAAAACAATAACATCTAATTGAGGGGCAGGCAAAGTAACAAATCGGAGAAAGATTTGACAGAATGAGTCAAAGATAGAATATGTCTGGCTCTCAGGAGAATAGACAGGTAAGGGAGGTTACTTAAAGAGGAGTGAGGGAGAGAGAGTTCAGTTCAGAGTAGTTGAGTTCAAAACAGTTAAGTTTGTGGAGTTCAAGGCAGTCTTTCTAAGCAGATTAATTCAGTCAGAAGCTGGGAAAAGCTAATTTGAATCAATCAGCTTGAAGAGAAGTTTGAGCCATAACAGTTGAGTTGAACCAGCCAGCCAGAGTTCAGAAAGAGCTAGAAAGAGTGAATTTATATTCAGCAGTGTGCCTCAAAGGCTAAAACGTTTTAGGCCTAGGCTGCAGGCAAAGGCTGGAAGCTGAAGTCTTCAAGGTCCAGGCTTACAGAAGATTAGATTGTGTGGAGACTAGAAGCTTCCAGCCCTAGGCCTAGGGATAGTTAGATAAAATGCTCCAGGCTCAGCCCAAGCCATGTATTCATAAAGCTTGGGTCAGGCTCTCATCTTGTCCCTTCATTTGAGAAAATAAAAGTGATATTCACGTTTATGAAGAAGTATATACTGTCACTTGAATATGCCTTGTTCTTGTTTTGAGCACCTCTCTATTAAGCCCTGTGCTTAAGATCTATGCTAAAAATGTCTTTAAAAACTTTATTTTTATTTTATGTGTGTGTTTTACCTGCTTGTATATCAGTACACCATGATGCTCAGTGCCCATGGAAGCCAGAAAAGCAGCATTGGATCCCTGGGAACTGTAGTTATAGACAGTTGTGACTGCCATGTGAATGCCAGGAATCAAAGCCTGGCCCCCCTGAAGAGCAGCCAGTGTTCTTAACCTCTAAGCCATGTCCCCATCCCCTAAAAAGTATCTTGTAATAACCTTCAACTTTGCTTCACAATGGCTTGTTCTGAAATTCTCTTCTGTAGTGAATCCAAAAATATGGCTTTAACTTAGTCTAGGTTGCTGAAAACAAAATAATGATAATAAATAATAAATCAAAACAAAAAACAAAAACAGCAGCAGCACAGAGCGGTGTTTACCTCCAACTGCCTCTGACATTACTACTTTGAACCAAATATAGACATTTTGAGATTGCCATTACAATATTCTCTCAAATGATACTACAAGTAAATGGTCCATTGTCTGAGTCCTCTCCGAATTGAGTTTCCACTGGATGAGATAACAAAACCTTTCAAATTGCTAAATACCGATTGACTGGAAATCCTATTAAAATGTAGATTTTTTATTTAGTAGCTCTCTTAGAATTTTAATACTGTGAACAGACACCATGAACAAGGCAACTTTTATAAGGACAACATTTAATTGTGGCTGGCTTACAGGATCAGAAATTCAGTCCATTATCATTAAGGTGAGAGCATGGCAGTGTCCAGGCAGGCTGGTGCAGGAAAAGCTGAGAGTTCTATCTCTTCATCTGAAGGCTGCTAGCAGAATACTGACTTCCAGGCAGCTAGGATAAGGGCTTTAAATTCCACACCCTCAGTGACACATCTCTCATTCCAATAAGGCCACATCTACTCCAACAAAGCCTTCTAATAGTGCCACTCCCTGGGCCAAGCATATACAAACCATCACATTCCACTCCCTGGCCCCCCATAGGCTTGTTCAAACATGAGTCTATGGGGGCCATACCTAAACATAGCATAATGCAAAATACATTTATGCCAACTTCAAAAGTCTCCATAGCCTATAGCAGTCTTAATAATGTTAAAAGTCCAAAGTTCAAAGTTTCTTCTGAGATTCATCCAATCATTTAACTGTCATCCCCGAATCAAGACAGGAAACCAGCTGGGCAAACTCCAAACTCTGCATCTCCATGGCTGATGTCA